ATGGCATGCTGCAAAACTGGTATGGTATAACATGATTGCATTGTGAACACAAGAAACAGACCTTAACATGAAAATCATGACATGCGTGCCATGTAACAACATGACTATATGCCACGCTCAAGATACGCTTGCGGCCGTTCCGCTAGCGTCAAATATACCAAATTTGGTATTACGATACGTGAAGGGATGTCGAAGTTACGTGATTGGTGAAAACATGATAATCATGTGTTGCGTGTAAAGTAACAACACCACTACATGCCACGCTCATGATGAGCTCGCGGCCGTTTCGCTAGCTTAACTTATACCAAATTCAATATTACGAAACGTCAATGGATAACGAAGTTATGATACTGGTGCAAACATGATAATCATGAGATCTGTGTCATGCAACTACATGACTACTTGCTACGCTCATGATATGCTCGCGACCGTTTCACTAGCTTCACATGTACCAAACTCGGTATTACGCGACACAAATGGACGACATAGGTAAATGACACATCCAAACATAATGATCACGACATGCGTGTCGTGTAAGAACATGACTATGTGCCACACTCATGATGTGCTAGCGGCCATTTGGCTAGTTTCACATATGCCAAATTTGATATTGTGTGACGCCAATTGATGACGGAGGTATGTGAATGGTGGAAACATTATAATCATGAAATGCGTGTCATGACAGAACGTGTATATATACCACCATCAAGGCGCCAAAGCATTTCGACGTGACGCGGTGCGCATGCTCACCGGCGTTGCCATGCCAGGCGCCGGTCCTGCATATACTCGCAGGCACGCCCCACGCTGCGTTCTTTTGACACATGCGCGTTTCAGCGCGTCCGGCGTCCTTCCGTCACGAAAAAAGGTAGATGCAGTGTTGTCTGAATGACGCATCGGTGCGAAATGCAGCATGTCGCATTTCGCGCCGATTGCCGTCGGGCCATGCCGAGGGACGCTGGTCGTGCCTGGCGTCAGACCATAGAGGCCTCGCGTTTTGCTAACGTAGTGTTACTGTGCCCAGCGTGCGTGCTCGTCAACTCTACATTGGAGTATATTGGGCCCTTCATAATGCGCTTGCGGCCGTTTTGCTAGCTCCATATGTACCAAATTTGGTGTTACGTGAGGTCAATAAATGACAAAATATATGGCTTGTGCAAACAAGAAAATCCTCACACGCGTGTCATGTAAGAACATGACAACATACCACGCTCATAGCGTGCTCGCGGTCGTTTCGCTAGCTCCACATATACTAAACTTGGTATTACGTGACGTGAATAGATGACGAAGGTAAACGGCAAAACTAGACATGATAATCATGACACGGACGTGATGTATGGCATCATTTACTTGCACCTCGTAAAGTTGTGCTGATTTTAAAGTGACATACCAACATTTCTCATTCGTGCTTCGCATATCATCGATTCCTCGTGTACTTGGGATCTGCAAATTTTTTCAGGAGCAGTTTTTTGAGCTGCTCTTGTTAATGCGTCGAAAGGCTCGCAATAACGTCGAAAGGTGGTTGAAACGCTTGAGTCATCGGACTGCATTCGGCAGAATCGATGATGGTGAAAGCGTTGCTGGTTTCCAGTATTTCTTCGATGTAGGCAACCGTCGTACCTTTGCTCACGTGCTTGTACTGATAGCTGAAGTTTGTGAGCATCACTTTTGCGTTACTACCCGCAGCTCGGCTATTCCTATGGTGACGCAAGTTTTGCGGTGTGCCAACAAATTCTGGTCCCCTTCAATGATGCCTTGCATGTATGTTGATTCTTGAGAGCCGACGGAAATGCTGACACTAGAGCGAAGAGGAACGGTGACTTGGTCTTCATGTTGAATGGTTTCCTCCTTACCACAGTGGCTACAGGCTGCGGTGTTTTATGCATAATTTTTGCTTGAATAATGTGGGGTGCTTTTCGATATGCTTGCCATTCTTCGCGTGATATTTAAATTTGTTGCTATCACATTCATTGCATCGTCTATACGGCAAAGCTGTGACTTTTTTGTTCCTTCAATTCACCCTGTTCAACAATGTTGCTTTGCAGTCTCTGAGAAGCGTAGAACGGCGAGTCGACGATTGGCGTCAGTGATTGGGGCTGGTAAAGGCTGCAGCCCAAGAACAGCACAGCAGTTAGCTGCAAAATTTACGTTTGGCAGCTGCCCCCAAAGTTCACTTCAAGGACCAAAGCCACCGCCGCGATGCATAAAGTAAAGGCAACCACAATGAAGCAGCCAGTGTTGGACGTCTTACTCTTTGGTGATTCCGCCTGACAGTCATGGCGTGCGAAAGAATGGCCACTCTGGCACTACCAGTACTGCCCAAACGAGCCATCTTGGCAGCTCGTCACGCACATCGCAGTCGTGGCCGAGTATAGAGATGAAGGCGCCGATGGAGCGTGGTTGCATGCTATAATGTAAAATTAAAAAGACAAGGGGAGAATAAGAACAGCTGGTCCAGCGTACTGGCGTTGTTGTTTCTTTCACAATACGTCATGTTTATAAAATTTGATAGAGAGCAGTGCTAGAGCATACTTTCTATATACTTTCTACTATACTTTCTTTGCCATTGTTGTCTGTTAGATGTCATTATTATGGTTAACACGAATAACGAAAACACGAACAACACGAAAAAACGAGCCCTTAAGTATGCCCTTTTTTTCCTTATATATATTGTCACAATGAAGAAACAGGAGCAGTTGGATACAGGACAACACATTTTAATTATACCAAAACACAGGCAAACTAATCGGACGAAAAACCTCGTCTTTTCTTTCGCTGCGCGTGCTCTTCCTTGTTCTCTTGGTGCTGCATAGTCAATGCGGCATTTGCCCCCTTCCAGAGAGCAGCGTCCCGATGCTCTTCTACAAGAGAAGGTGCAGTTGACGGATGATCCTAACAATAGGGCTTCATTCGCACAACGTGCAAGGTTTGTGGTTGTAAATGCAAAGCATTTCTTAGCGAACTTCGGTGACTTTGAGCGTACCTATCTATCTATCTATCTATCTATCTATCTATCTATCTATCTATCTATCTATCTATCTATCTATCTATCTATCTATCTATCTATCTATCTAACCTACGACTTTTAGCTCTCCTGGCCGTTTAGTTATTGGGATCAATACTGAATTTGGTATAGCATAACATGTCTATATGACGAGGATAACTGTCAAGTCATAACGTGACTATCAAGCCATGTATGTCATAAATGTCATGATTTATATTTCAATGTCTTGCTGCTCTTGCGGTGGTTTCGTTCGCATGACATGTTGCAAAATTGGTATGGTATGACATGACTGCATGACGAACACAAGTGACAGACCCTAATGTGGAAATCATGACATGCATGTCATGTAAGTGATGATTCATGACTACGCGTCACGCGCATGTACGCTTGCAGTCGTTTTGCTAGCTTCACATATACCAACTTTGGTGTTACGGGACGTGAATAGATGACGATGGTAACTGGTGCAAACATGATAATCATGAAATGCGTGTCATGTAACAACATGACTACATGCCACACTCATGGTGCGCTCGCGGCCGTTTTGCTAGCTTCACATACACCAAGTTTGGTATTACTGGACGCAAATGAATGACAATGGTATATGACTGGTTCAAACTTAATAATCATGAGACGCGTGTCATGTAACAACATGACTACATGCCACACTCATGATGCGCTCGCGGCCGTTTCGATAGCTTCACATATGCCAAACTTGTATTGCGTCACGTGAATGGATGGTGAAGGTATGTGACTGGTGCAAACACGGAAATCATGAGATGCGTGTCATGTATGATCATGACTACGTGCCACACTCAAGGCGCCAAAACACTTCGACGTGACCCGGCGCACGTGGGTGCCGGCGTTCGTTTCGTCGCGTCACGCTGGCGATGCCACGCCAGGCGCCGATCTGCCTGGCATATTATACTCGCCGGCGCACGCCGTGGTGCGTTGCCATGATGCATGCGCGTTTGAGCGCACCCGGCGTCCTTCGATCACGAAGCTAAGCAGACGCGGTGCTGTCAAGATAACGTCGTCGGCGCGAAATGCAGCGTGTCGTATTTCGAGCTGGTTGCCACCGGGTCTCGCCGACAGACGCTGGTCGCGCCTATTATCAGACAATAGATTGCTCGCGTTTTGCTAGCGTAGCGTCACTGCGGCGATCGTCAACGTTACGTGCGCTCGCCGCCGTTTCGCTAGCTTCACATTTACCAAGTTTGGTATTACGGGACGTGAACGGATGACGAAAGTATGTGACACGCCCAAACATGATAATCATGATATTAGTGTGTTGTAAAACATTACCACATGCTACGCTGATATCGTGCTTGCGGCCGTTTCGCTAGGTGCACATTTACCAAATTCGATATCAGGTGATGTGAATAGATGACGACATAAATAACACGTCCAAACGTGATAATCATGACATGAAAGTCACATATGGCATCATTTATTTCCGCCTCGTATCGTTGTGCTGATTTTAAAGTTACATATCAAGCTTCCTCATTCGTGCTTCGCGTAACAGCGATTCCCACTGTACGTGGGATCTGCCATTTTTTAGGGGCGAAACAAAGAGAAGTTTATTGCACTTATGACAAGTAATCAAATACATAAATATTCTCCGACACTTATCACGGACACACGCGGTAAACACACCCATAAACAAAAAAAAAACACGTTTAGACTGTACATTACAACAGAAGCGCGATTATTCGAACACTTATTATACAAAGATTACAAGAGCGCTGGGCAGCCCGCGCGCAAAAGAGCCCATTTCCGTTTACGGGCGAGAAAGGGGGCGATAATGATCGCCGCTGTTCGGGCTCCAGAGAACTAAGGGGTTAATCCGTACAGAGAACAGATTCGAGACACATCATTAAACAATTGACAGGAAGGGTTGGGCATTGGCACTTTCCGTTTGCCGGTCAGGAAACAGTGGGACGCAGTGGCTGGCGTGCGCTCAAAAAGGGGTTATCGGCAGGTGTAACTTGCCTTTTTGCAGGAGAAAAAACCTCGTATGCCAGCGGCGGAGAAACTTATGCTCGCCGCTGGCTTCAAGTTCGTCTGCGAGGTGCCGCCACACCATGTGGCGGATACGAGCTACGGTCGCGAAGGCCGCTCTGACCGGAGAGCGGCTAACCTCAGCGAAGCAGCGTCGCTTCCAGACCGTGAATATGGTGCAGAGGGCCACTAACTTTGCAAAGGCGCCTTTGTTTCTGTTCAGAGCTGGGAGGAAGAGCGAATTTTAAAATCCCTCGCAGTCAGGCGCCAAACTGGTTTGACCGCTGGGCACTCAAATAAGGCATGCGCCAGAGTCTCATTTGGGACTCTGGCACATGCCTTATTTGAGACTCATTTGGGTCTCTGGCGACAATTGGGACAGCGGGGTGTAGGCGTGGTGCCAAAGTTGTGGAGGCGCTGGCGGGTTGCGAGGACGTCCCAGTTTTTCCTCCATGCGAAGTCTTGGGCGGACGAAGGGATGGCACGCCCATCTGTTTTGCCTTTCCGCTTCCAGTTCTGGGACCGTCGCCTCTCCTCGGGGCTTATCTGGTTGCTGACGATTTCTGCCATAATGCGGGCAGGCGGGTTCTCATCTACGTCGCACGTAGGGGCCTCCTTTTCTAGCATGCGCATGGTGTTTGCGGCTGCCTTATAGAACGCGGAGGGAGTCTCGGCGAGTGGGGTGAGCGGCCAGTCGGCATTCAGGAACGATGCGTTTGTATTGCACCAGTAACGCATTAAGGGCCTCCCCACGTAATCAAGTACGTGAAACAAGGCCCTTGCGGTCTTCAAGGCGAGCACTTTGCTGGCCGTCAGGACATGCGTGAGCCCGAGGCCACCCTCTGAAGCTGGGAGTTGCAGGAGGGTTCAACAAAAGGGCACGGGTTTGCCGTCCCGCAGGTAGGCACCGGTCATACTTGTCAATTGCATCGCAGTCTTGGTGGGCATCACTCCTATTTGGCTTACATAAAAGGGAAAGGCGCAGATGGTTGTCATTGCGGCTATGGCCCTCTCACGTAGCCTGAGATCCTTCGGTTGAAGGCATGCTATTGCATCCTGTGCCCGCTCGAGCGCTCGTTGCCAGGTTAGGTCGGTGACGCCACCGCAGCAAAAGTATATGCCGAGCACCTTGACGGCGTCGACCCTTTCCAACTCTCCCAGAGCGCCGTGAGGGAATGTTCCAAATGGTAAGGCCTTGCTCTTTTTCATGTTCAAGGCCGCGCCTGAGACATCAGCATAGTGTGCGAATATTCGTCAAAAAGCTTCCTGGCTTGCCGGGTCCCTGACAAACAGGTATACATCATCAACGTAAGCGAGGACCTTAATGTTGGGCTCCCCCGTTAGCGGAAAGCCTCTGACGTGCGTGTTCTGGTCGATGTTCACCAGAAACGGCTCAAGCGAGAATATGAAGAGGGAGGGCCCTAGCGGGCACCTTTAGCGGATCCCTCTCTCGTATACAAAGTAACTCGTCGGGGTGCCGTTTACTACTACGTGGCATATGAGGTTGCTGTATAGGAGGGCGATGGTGACTATGACGAATGTCGGGAAGCCGAACTGGTGGAGTACCTCGATCATGTATCCATGGCACACCCGGTCAAACGCCTTTTCCTGGTCCATGGAGACAAAGGCTCCGGACAGGTACTTGGCAGACTTGTATTCGAAGGCATCCCTTGTTACGGTAAGGTTGGCAAACATGGAGCGGCCTGGAACCGCACGGGACTGCCAGGGAGCGACGATGGATGGCAAGAGGAGCTTAAGGCGGCTATTAAGGATGGAAGCAACCATTTTATTGTCCACGTTCAACAGGGTTATGGGGCGCCACGCCAACAGCTCCTCCTGCGGGGCTCCCTCTTTCAGTAGGAGGACTATCCTCCCCTCTCCAAAGGATGCGGGTTTCAGTTGCTTCGTAACCACCATGTTCGCCAGTGCGACAAGCACTCCCTCTAGATCGCCGAAAAAAGTGGCGTAAAAGTTGGCTGTAAGGCCGTCAGTGCCAGGGGACGAGTTCGGGGGCATACTTGTTGTCGCGCCCCTAACCTCTTCTGCAGACAATTCCGTGCTCAGTAACGCAACCTCCTCTCCTACCAGCCGTGGGAGGTGCTGGCAGACCCCGTTAATCTTGTCTTCTCCGCCAGTTTCTTCGTCGCTGTCGGCGTCCCGAAAAAGCGCCGAGAAGTACTCGCAGAAGACATCGCGGATTCCCTCTGGTTCAGCTGCGAATGAATCATCCGGGCGTTTCACTCGGGTAATTCGTATGCTGCCATTCCCAGTTGTGTCTCTGGGGTGCGCTCTGAGGTGGTTAATGGGTGCGCCCCACTTCCCAGGCGGTCTGCGCGCGCGCAGTTGAAGCAGCCGGGCATACTCGACCTCCAGGGTGTTCAGATAGTCGCGCATTCATGTCGTCATCGTCTCCGCCCCCCTGACGATGCGTATTCTGCGCAGGATCTCATTCAGTTTAGCGGTTATGCGGCGCTTTCTGGCCTTGCTTTCGTCTTGAAGGATTCCCTTCCACTCCGCTTTCAGAGTGTCCCACGAGCGTGGGGTTAGGTCCGGGGCGTTCGCCACGGAGGCCCACAGCCGCGCCCTAATGCCCTAATGCGCTCGATGCTATTGCCACATGGTTTGCTTGGGTGAGATCGAAGAGTGAAAGAAGACAAAGACGATCTCTCTGAGCCGCTGCTTGAGTAGTCGACTAAACGAGCCCATTTTTATCAAGTTTGTCGAGAGTAACGTGACAAGACTGGTGGAAGTGCTGGGTACAACGTCTCACAATCCACCCGATGCCCAAGACCCCGTCCAGCAGCCGGAACACAAGCCCTGCACCCGTGGACACTCCTGTTCATAGAGTAAGCCGCCGCCAACGAGGCCTACCGCCTGAGACACCAACCACTGACGCAGCGACTATGACTTCGACTCAAGATCCCATGCAAGCTCCGACACCTTCCACGCCGATCTACTGCACCGTCCAAAACCCGCTCATGCCTAGCCCCTTTCACGGAGAGCAGCATGAAGATGTTGACGACTGGCTGAGTGAGTTCGAACGTGTCGCAGCGATCAATTACTGGGATGATGCCGCGAAGCTCCAGAACGTGTACACTTGCCTAAAAGACGGTGCCAAGACGTGGTTTTTGAACAGGGATGATGTTCTGACATCTTGGCGCGAGTTCCAGCGTCGCCTCCTGGAGACCTACAGGAGTCCCGACCGCCGCGAACGGGCGGAGCGTGCACTACAATCACGCATCCAGATGCCCAACGAGACCATCTCGATGTACGTCGAGGACATGACACGGCTTTTCAAGCGAGCGGATCCTGCTATGGCAGAAGAAAAAAAGTTGCGCCACCTCATGCGTGGTATGAAGGAACAACTTTTTGCTGGTTTGGTGCGTAGTCCCCCCAAAAGTGTTGCTGAGTTCCTTACTGAAGCGGCAACAATGGAGCGAGTACTGCACCAACGGTCTGCCCAGTTTGACCGTCAAGTGAATGCTGCCTCAACTCCCGAAATTTTCGCGACCCCTGGGAGCAAGAGCCCCGAATGGATTCGCGAGATCATTCGATCTGTAGTCCGGGAAGAAATGGAGAAGATGTACGGGACAAGGCAAATCGATGTTGGTTCTATCACCAGTGTCATCCGCGACGAGGTCCAGCAGGTGCTGCACGCCCATCGTTTTCCGCCCACGTCGGTTGATCCGGAAACAGCTCCTGTGTCTACTGACAGTCGCCGTCGTACGTATGCGGAAGCCTTGCGATCTGCCACTCCTCTTTCGGGTCAAGGAGTCCCGATCCAGCCAGTGCCGCACGTCCCGATCCAGACAGTGCCGCACGTCCCGATCCAGACAATGCCATACGTCCCGATCCAGACAATGATGCCGTCAGTCGCGATTCAGTCAGCGCACACTGATTTTGACATCGATAGTCGCCATGCGCCGACGCGCAAGTCTGATCTCTGGCGTACGCCAGACAGACGACCCCTCTGCTATCATTGCGGTGAGGCTGGTCACATTTACCGCGAATGCCCATACCGGCAACTTGGACTGCGTGGATTTTCCGTCAATTCCCCTCGTCCCCGAATTGGTCAAAGGCCAAGGGATATTGAAGAGTATCTCGCGCAACAGCGTGCACCCTTTACACGACGGCAATCGCGGTCACCATCTCCGAGGAGACCCGCAGCCACTGGGCCACGTTTCGGGGTGACGGCACGGGAACGCTCCCCGAGCCCTCGTCGGGAAAACTGAAGGCAGCGGCCTTCGGGGGCAAGGTCGCTGGGACTCAAAGTGCGGAAGACCTCCCATCGACGCTTGCACGCAACGCCGAAGGCATTTCGTCAGAAAATAATCGCAGTGCCGAAGAAACGCCGACATCCGCATCTGAACCTAGTGACCGCGTGTCACTCGACATACCTGTGCTGGTTGACGGTCTTCAGGTCAGTGCATTGGTAGACACTGGTGCAGACTATTCGATCATCAGCGGGAGGCTAGCGAAAGATCTCAGGAAAGTGATCACGCCGTGGAATGGAGCGCGAATTCGAACAGCTGGAGGACACGTTGTAACACCGCTGGGTCACTGTACCGCAAGAGTGAAAATTCGTGCGTCAACGTTTGTGCTCAGCTGCCTCGTTCTTCGCGACTGTTCGCGTCAGCTGATTATCGGCATGGACTTCCTTCGGGAATACGGTGCCATCATAAATCTCCGTGAGCGCATCGTGACCTTCTCGACTCAAGGCGCAACAGATCGAGACGCTGATAACTGCCGTAGACTTGCGCTGCGTGTTGCTGACGACAGTGTGACGCTGCCACCTCGAGCAACTGTTCCCATCGAAGTCACTTGTGAAGACTTCCAAGACGGCGACGTGGTGGCTGAAAGCAACTTATCACTTCTGCTGCTCCAAGGTGTATGCGCCGCCCGAAGTGTTGTGCGCGTCCGTGACGGACAGTCAACGATACTAGCTACGAACTTCAATTACGAGCACCGGCATCTTTTCCGCGGAACCACCCTAGCTTATGGAGAACCTGTTGCCGACGTCACGGAGTGCTTCGCGTCCGAGGAAACGCATGAAGATGAGGAATTTCTAGACCACATCGACATTAGTTCGACGCTGTCAGACGAGAGAAAGGCTGCACTTCACGACCTTTTAAGGGAGTTTAGATCTTGCTTCGCCTCTTCTTCTAAAGTCCGTCAAACACACCTCACGAAGCA